TTTCGGAAGAAAGTCTTAGTTGTAGCGCACTACTAAATTGTCAATGTGTTCTAAGTCTGTCCGCGCTGACAAGTAGGCGTGGCCGTCGGGGCGGAGCTCGCAGTGGTGTCTGGCGTGATCTGGTTGGTGAACTGCCCGGTCTAAAAAGAGTGGTGAATTTGGTTTGAAAAAAGTGGTGAATTTGGTTTGAAAAGTGGTGAATTTGCTTTGAAAAGTGGTGAATTTGGTTGAAAAGTGGTGAATTTAAAGTGAAAATGTATAAAAGAGTTGTGCAGAAATAATACGATCATGATCAAGACTTACCCTTAATCGGCCATCGATCGCTGCTGGACCATCTTCGGCGATTCGAAGTACAAACAATGGCATGGCACCAAACTCTTGTCCACCTCGAATAGAGAAACCAAATCCACGAACGCCACGTTCCAATTCCACAGAAATTATCGGACTGTCCTGTATGAATTCATTTAGGGTTGTTGTTTCAGGAAGAGACTGTTAGGAAAACATTGGATTGTACGACATTGCTACATGCGGGAGCATTCCGTTATTTCAAAGAAAGAAGCCCAAGTGAAAAAGCGAGTCTTTCATGCACCTCTTATCCAAGAACTTTCCGCTGCTTCTCTGGAGCTTTAGAGAAATAGTTGCAGTCGGTTCTAGCTATGAGATTTGTGGCAACTGATTTCGGGGCGTAAATGGCTATGGCCAGTTACGAGACATCTAGGAAGCACGATTATTTCAAACAGCTATTACTGCCCCATTTCATTAACGCCTCGAGAAGTTGTTAGATGGAACGTTTTTTCAATTAGGCCTAATGCATCCACTGATCCTCGTTTTCTGCAATCGACTGTTGCCAGCTCAACCTTGGACCTAGCCGTTGCCACAAATGTGCTGAAGGAAAAAGAGTGAAAGATTAGTAATAATGGGGTAAAAGTGAGCAGTGTGAGGCGACAACACTGGTACGACATAATATTGCAGTGCCCTATTTTTTATTCAGTAATACCATGTCAAAAATTTTGCTACAGTAACCAGCAGAAGGTGAGAGCTTTTCAAGTTTTTTTGTTAACGATGGCTACTGAAACCATAACTCATCGCGGCTTCTGAATCGCGAATTGTGGCAGAAAGGCTGTCCAGTGGTTGGCAAGCCCTCGACGCATCTGTTCAGCCGATAGCCATATAAAGACAAACTGCACCCTCACCTCCAAGACGATCTTTGTGCAAAGTGAGTAGAGCCAAAGCTGCAGTATCATGCTAAGATCACGACTCAAGGATATGTGGGAGCAAAGCTAGAGGGTAGTGGTGCCCGGGTGCCATCTCCTGCATCCATCCGCGCTATCTTCAATGAGCAGCACTCAGGTCAAGGCCAGGATGCCACATAGAACATG